CTGGGGAGTTCAACTGGCTGTGACCTAATAATTGTAGCTTGATTATTGGAAAAATTAGTAAAAGACTGGAAAAAACGTTCAAGGAATTATCTACAAAGGAAGATTAAAGCATTTCCCCTCTGGGGCTGGAGGAAAAGCATGGCTTAAGTACTCAAAAGATCGTCTTGGACAAGGCCAGCAACAGGAGCAGCAGCATCCTCTTAAAGGATAAACAGATATTCGCAGGAAAAATATTAATTAAAACCGTTATTTCACAAGTACAGCCTCCGCTCTCAGAAAACGCATTATAATTGCCCTTTATTGTTCTGCATATAAGTATTTATCAGTCCGTATGAGTGGGTCGGACGGTGGGAGGGTAACCATCGATCGCGGCTACGGGCAGACGCACGGTTAATGGACCCCAATCCGAGCGGAAAATGAACTGCAATACGCAAGATGCTCTGTGTTTATGACCAAGACCTCCATTGGGCTTTATAATTAATACCTGCTCGAATTGACAGAAAGAGAGAGAGAGAGAGAGTGGAGTGGAGCGGGAAATGATGGAGCGGTGGGTGGGAGGCGAGAAAACTCAAGCGGAATACTCGTAATTGTAATGATAATGTGAAGCGAAGCGTTGCATGCCATTAAACTTTTCGCACAGGGCACACACACACACCTACAAGAATTAAACAATAAAATATTTAAAAATATCGCCAACGTGAGCGGAAACCTCCCCCCACTTTCTCTCTCTCCCTTAGTTTCACCTTTTATTGGGTTTCTTTTCTCACACCCTTTCGGAGGGGTATCTGAGAATCAGAGAAGGACACATTTTTGATCAGCTTTATCGATCCTTAATGTCAGCTTCATTACACAAAACAAGTCTTTGTCCTTCAGGTTGTTTATAAGTCGTCGTTTAATAAATGTTTTTTGAGTTTAAGAGTATCTAAAGCTTCGGCCACTTTTGCGTTGTTGTTTCGTCCTGCCTCCTGCATCCTGCTTTTTCCTTTATTTTATTATTCTTATTACTGTTTTTACTGTTATGAGAGGCAAGACAAAGAAACTCAAACCGAAACTGTAACTGTAGTGGCAGCAAGGAATGACTGAGTGAGTGACTGGGTGGTGGGTGGGCAGAAGGATGGTGTTGGGGTCTGCTGCTGCTGCGGCGGTTCTGCATGGCTGCAGCTCCTGTGGCTGCCACGTGAAGTGTGTGCCATGCTCGACTTCTCACCTGCTGCTTACCACAGCAATGGATGGCCAAGCACCAGCAGCAGCAGCAATAACATCATTGCGGAGAAGAACCCAGAGGATGGGGCGGGGGGCGAGACTCGGTATTAAATGGCCCACCGCTCGGTCAGTGCGCTGGACGGTGGACTGGGCAGCCTGCGTCGGACTTACTCTTTACGGGCCAGTCGCCAGAAGAGTTGAGGTTGACTCTTTTTTTATGGAGCCGTAAGTAGTTATTATTGTGGGGCGGCAGTAAATGTTTATATGCCGCCTCTAACGGCCATCAAATGTGGTTAACAGGGTGTAAACTCAATGAATAATATTCAAGCTATGAGAGTGAGTGCGAATAAAATAGCTGGCGCTCCTCAAGGATGCACCTTCATCCTACTTTCCGCTGAAACTGTTTATCCAACCAAAGGCATACACATGATAGCATAAAAACCGGTGGATAAAACCCTACCTCGTGCTATTTTTAATTTCTTTTGTATGCATTTTTCAGGGAGACCCACTGGGTATCCACTCACACAGAGTGTGAGTCCCCTGCTGACCAGACCTCGAAAGCGCATCAAAAAGGTGCCAGCGCAAAGACAAAACCATAAAAATTAATTATGTTTTTTGCTGTGCAGCAAAGCAAGAGAGAAATGTGTGAAGGGGGAAACCAGCAAGAAAAGAAAATAGAAGGAAAATTGAGCAACAAGAAGGAAACTAGTGCAGGAATAAGCTAACCGAAGAAAAGACAAGCCAGGGGACAACAGTGCAGTGAAGTTGAGACCGACTGATGCATGAGGAAATTGTGTTGAACTTGCCAAGCGTTTATTGTATAAATTTCCAGCATTCCCTGCCCCTCCGCAGGGACAGAGGGGGATACATGCCATCACAGGGACAGGGCCAGGGACAGGGACAGGGACAGAGACCAGGCATCCATCCCACATGGCCCTTTGGCAGGGGCTACGGTATGGGCCAAACGCAGCTGGTGGTTGCCGCTTCCGGCTGACTCATGCATTTTTCACCAGCAACCAACAGCAACAGCAACCAACAGCATCCAACAGAGGAGAAGCAACAGTGTTGCAAAGAAAAAACCATCAGCATCCACAAGTTGAGGCACAAACAATGGTGCGATGGAATGACAACAGCTTTAAAGTTAATTGCCAGCGACAGGCAGCCGCCGCTCCCATCTCCATGGGGGATCGGAAACGCTCCTCTAAAGTTAAAGCCCTTTTCTCTGGCTATAGCCAGAAGTAAGCCAGTGAAACAAAGTAATTTCTCCCATTCTTTGATCTGATTTGAAGCTGCCAATCTTGCAGGACGGGCTGTCAATGCCACATCTCCATTGAACCGACTGGCATGTTAATGAAGCCCGACAGTTAGGTGGCAACACATTTTACACTCTGGTGCCCGTGTGGCACTGCCACATACCACTGGTCTCTGTTTGTGGCAGCTGGAATACCAGTCGCCAGCTTACCAGCTGCCAATACTGTTAATTAAGAGCCCGGGCAGTGTTTAATTAAGTTTTAAATGCGCAGACAACTAATTAACACGAAGCCCAAGGCCGAGGCCGTATGTCTGCAGACGGCAGTGTCAATGGCTCTAATGGAACGAGCTTTGAATATTATTCAAATGAGGCATGAATAACTGCCGACTACCAAAAAGGATTTTCAAATGGCCTTGCCCTCGCGGCATTTCTGCCCGAAAACCGCCAACAGATCAGGCATCAAATAAACAACAAAGGATACTCGTGTCCCCCATCCCCATCATATCCTAAGGGGCATGCCAAACATTTTTTTCCTTGTGAATTGTTTATTGAAAAATCGCTCCCCGCCTCTAAAATCGATTGCCGAGCTGTTGATGCAAATGACTGGAGGACCAAAGCAGCAAAAAAAAAGCCAGTACCTCTGAAATTTGAGAGCGGGGGACGAAGGATACTCGTATCTATGGCCTAGTGCGGTGCTGGAAAATCCATTAGCTTGAATTGATTTTTCGGTTTGCTTTTCAATCAAATTAAATCCGAGCGCCTGCTGGCGATGCCGATGCCGATGCTGCTGCCTGGAAAAATGTTGACGACCCATTTGACCATCAATCATGATCCGCCGAGTCTTTTGTGCGGCTGGCAACATATCCGTAAAATGGAATTAAACAAAATAAATCATTTAAATTAATGCCAAATTGGACAATGCATAGTATGCCGAACAATCCAAAAAGAGAGAGAGAGAGAGAGAGAGAGAGAGAGAGCGAGAGCGTGATAAAAAATCGAGGAAATGTATACAATATACATATTTGACAGGACAGCCTTTCAATGTCACTGTGCAACAATATTTGTATACACCTTAAAAAAAAAAAAAACGCAACGCAGACACGCACTTAAAGGCATGAAAAAAGCTTTTAAAATGAAAATTTACATTGCATCATTTTTGAAAAGGGGAAAACTCGCAGGCATACTCGTATCTCGCGCTGAGAGCGAACTAAATAAAAGGCTGCCAAAAGGAAATCTGCGCATATTGGTCATTAATAAAAGTTTCCTGCTTTTTTTTTGCATATCAATACAAAAAGCAAATATTGATAAACAAAAAATGAATACAGCTTAAGGTTTAAGAGAGGAGCGGGAAAAACAGGGTAGGAAAAACTGAACTGAAAAGAGACGAGCGAGCGGCACAGAGAAAATATATAAATAAATAAAGTGTGTGTGAAAAGGCAACAATAAAACACGGCCCAGGGACCCGAGGGACCCGACAGATCCAGAGATGACAGCGTGAGATGGAAGTATCGTAATGGATATCCTATCAATTAATTTAAAAGGTGTCCTTGGAGATGGCGAAACAAGAGGCCTGTAGGGAAGGAAAGTTGAAGAAATGAAAAGATTATATATGCTAACATTTAAGTCCCTTCCGTAGCAAATAATCCAGGTACTTGTATCTTTTTTTTTCACTCTTTATAATCCTCTTTAAGGCACACCCATCTCTAGCACTTAATTTTCCATATCAGAGCATCCTTCACTCATTGTACAATAAATGCGGCCACGATTTCAAGTCAATTGCATCGTTATTTATCAGTCAGCACAAATGTACGTGGCGTCTGTATCTGTATCTGAATCTGTATCCATCTATATGGTGTCTGACAACAGCAGCAGCAGGAATGTGCTTTTCGAAGCGTTGCACAATGGGGCTCTGTGGCATGGCCCTGCTCTTAGGCACGTTATGAAAAGTGCCACAACAAATGAAATTTGCAATTGCATGTGTCGCTGCTTGTTGCTCTCTGTGTTCATTCACTACCCTGCACCCAAAGGGGATGTACGAATATACAGTGAGCTAAAGAGAAAGAGAGAGATAGGGAGTAGAAACCCATCGGAAATGAATTTGTTTCCGCTCAAGTATCATCAATTAGTTGAGAGAGTATGAACAAAAAAGGCTATCTATCCCACTTTTTTAGTGGCTGTTCACTTGATTTATTTTTATGCGATTTTAGTGCGACTGCACTTTAGTGGCCAGCAATTTCCGTTGTTCATTAAGGGGCATTGTGCAACAAACAAACGAGTTGGCTTTGCGGTTTGCCCTTTTATGGCCATGATTATGGTCGCTTCTTTTGTGTGGAAGCGTGGAAACTGCGCCATATATTCGTACATAATTGTGAAAAAAGAGCTGAACGAATGAATTAAATGTGGTCATAATGAGGTCTTTTGATTCGCACTAGCAGAAAAAAACAATTGTTGCCAATTGACTTGACTAATGGTTTATTTTACTTCAATTTCTTGGTTTAGTTCCACCAGAGACTTCAAAATGAGGAGACCATTTATCTTTGTATTATTCGTTACTTGCATTCTTTTGGGAATAGTTTCCGCAAACGAGGACGATGACTCTTCCCTCGAAAAGCAAGATATCAGATATGAATATAAGTCCAAGTGTACAGCCGAATCTCCAAGCAGTAAGTGAACATGAATGACCCTTTTTTTGTAGCAATTTCAACCGATAGTCCCCGTTAATCCTTTCAGACTGCCGACATCACGAGCTGCAGGAAATGGTGATAGAACTTTTGAAATTAACAAAAGATCCTCCTAGTGACACGCCCATCAAAGATTGGTTTGGAAAAGTATGGAGCTCGATACGCAATGCCGTATCAAAGATTATACCCAAAAGGTTTAAAAAAGGCGATTAATCATCGTTTCAGATCATCATTGGCAGATCTTTCTTTAATTCTATGTTTCAAGAACATATGTATGTACCATAGTATATAAATAAATATGTACTAGTTCTGCCAACCGCCTTTGACTTTTATTATGAAACTACAAAATATTCGCATTAAATTGTGCTTCGTGTGCGCTTGATGTAATTAAAGCTGCTGGGTCGTATGAGTGATGTGGCATGAAATTTATCTGCATAACTCATACGTCATGTTGGACGGCATGCAAAAAGGATACAGCTGGAAGAGAGTCCTCTGTTCGCTTCGCCCTATCCCTTTCTCTGTCTCTTTCTCTGTCTCTGTCAGGGAGCTTGTCTCTTTGGGAGTCTCTCGGTGTCGGTCTGTGCCAGTCTGCGGGGGCAGCAGCAGCAGCACCAGCTGGAGCTTAATGATTTTTACGCTTCTGTTGCACTTAAGTTGCAGTTTTCTCTATTTTTTGGCCTGTGCGAGGCGTTAATGGCAAACAGAAGCGACAACATCTGCCAGAGAGACAGGGCTGGGCAGGGCAGGCCAGAGCATGGCACACACATGCTCATTTGGCTGGCGGGCAACAAATTCCAAGTCATTAGTCGTAGTCCCGAGCTCCAGCTTCAACACTTGGTTAAAAAAACAGTGCAAACTAAATTACAAGGGCTGCAAAAAGATTATAGGGTACTAGCTGTTGACAAACTTTGCCCTAGGAAAGAGTCTCGCCGGCATTCGGAACTGTAATTTTGTTTTTAACTTGATTCCGTTGAAATGTATTATTTATAGAGCAGAATGTATCTAAAGCTAGGTAGCAAAATATGTTCATAAATAAACGACAATAAGCTTCCTAGTGCTGACACGCTTTACACTGCTCAACATATATTTCATAAGACAGACATATTTCCGGACTGACTCCGGCCCCGGCCCTGATGCCAGAACTCTCTCTCCCCCCTCTCGCTCAGTGTCTGTCCCTGTCTCTGATGCTCTCCATTGCCTGTTCATGTCAGTACATCGTGGGGTCCGTCCGCCTCCGTGGCACGGCGAAAGCTGACTGTCAGCAGTCGCTTGCCATTGCCTGCCATTGCCAGAGCCATGTCCATGGCGGTGTCGCCGTTCCCTGTCATTGCCCATCAGCGTCATCAGGCTGTCTCCCAGTCACCTTCCATCTGCTCTCTGTGTGTGTTGTTCGCGGTGATGTACCCGTGCCCGTGCCCTGTTGTCAAGGTAAACGATATGAAATTAAGCCACAAAACACAGAACGAAAAGCGGCAGCTAGAACTGGAGTGGGACTCCTCCCGCGTATGGCGTTTGGCGTGTGGCATGTACCGTGTAGCGTATGTGTGTGTGTGTGTGTGTGTGCGGAAGGAAAGTTACAATTAAAATGCGCAAGAGAAATTAATATCAGCTTACTGACGTATTTTCCTTACGACAATGACATATTTTTCAAAAGCCGCTTACATAATTATGCACCGACTTTGAGCGATGCTGAATGGATATTATCGTTAATTATATAAGCAGCTTACCGCATCTTTTGGCAGATTATACAATTTCATCTAATTAGGGCGGGCTTCTGCTGCTTTTGATTCCACGAAAAGCATCGAATCCAGAGCTGCCACAAAATGGGAAATCGTTTGATAGATTTATTATTCAATTACCACAATTAGATTGTTGCCAAATTGTATGCATTATTCAAATGGGAGTCCTGAATATTCATCAGCATCCTCTGATCTCTGATCTTAATTTGATTAATTTCTGCATTCCCTGTCATAATGAAGCAACTTGCTCAAAAAGGAAGTACATTCCACTGCCACATCCTGTCGGACTCATTTGCATATGAGGTGCTATCAAAATAAAAATTTAACAATTCTCTCCCCACCCCCCCATCCCGCGTCTGTTATGCAAATTGAACAACAGGCACTGCCAAACCGCAGCAAAGTTTTGATGAGCCCCGCAACAACAGAAAACAAAAAGGTGAAACTCAAAAGTTTGCTGTGCCCCCGAAACACACTCTGCTCTGATCCTGATATGCTATGATGATGTGATATGCCAGGACTCTTGCTAGGTTTCTGTTGAAAAATCTGTTGAATATGCAAATTGCACTTAAACGATTGCCAGCGACCATTTCTGCCAATTTTTTTTCTTTCTCTCTCTCTCTTAAATAAATTTAATAATTTATTACATTATTTAAAGCTTTAAGCTGCTTTCAGATTTGCTTTCCCCTGACCTGCCCTCACATACGCCCGCCGGCAGTACAATACAGTCTTTGTCTTGGCAAAACATACACATTTCTCTGTTCATAATAAACGATATTTTTCGTTGCTAGACACACTCGCATCTACAAAATGTTAAACATCATCCTCCCAGGTTGAAGAGGGGGAGAGAGACGAAGTATTTTGCTAGAAATTTTCTAGTAGTAATAGTATTACCTGAAGAGGAAAGGGAAGGACATGGCACATTAGTTCAGCCACTCATCATAACCATTTTTGTCATGTACTAGAAAGGGAATGTTGCCGGTTACCAGCTGAGTTTTCACTAATATATATAGATGACTTGCCATTACAATTCAATTCATTCCACTCGCACCTAACACGCTTTCAGGGCATTTAAAATTCTGCTCAAAGGTCGGCCCAGGCCCTTCAGCCTTCCAGGTTGTTTTAGTGCCATTTGTGCGTTATTTTTATAAAGTTACCTCATGAATTATTCATAAACGAAGCAGACGTAGCGTAAAGTAAGACAAGCAGCAACAAAAAAAATATAAGATGTAAAAAAAATAAAAGGGAAAGATCGTTAAGTTTTTCCTTCTCTCTAGGAAAACACTCGAGAGATAGAAGGACAAGTTTTCTGGAGGAAACCTTTAGCAAATACGAAAATCTGATTAAATTATGGCAAAGTTTCTAATTGGTTTGTTATTAAGACAGCGATTACCATAAATTACAATTGAAATGGGGAAAGCATTCTGCTCCGTTCCGTCCCGTTCTGTTCTGTTCTAGAACAAATGGCTAAGCAAATTAACTCTGGCCCTGAAATGAACAATACAGAGAGCTCTTGGCTCATGTTTAATGCACTTGACAGTGCCAGACCCCCGGTTCCTGGTTGCTGGTCGGGAAAACTTCAAGGCAACCCCCAAAAGTTATGACTTTTACGCCCCATTATCGCTTAAATAATTTAGTCGGCCAAAGGAAAGGAAAACAACACGAAAAAAGGGAAAATTGCTAGGAAAAAAAACCCAAGAAAAAATCTCTCATAACTTGTGGTCTTTCCAGAGAGACAGAGAGAGAGAAGAAAAGGAGTAAACGGGGAAAAAGGCCGGCATTTATAAAGAGCCAAATTAACCGCAATTAGATTTTTGGAAAAGCGCGGTCAGAGGAAAATTACAATTAACCGTTTTCAGCATGTGAAATCTGAATAATCAAGTGGCAAGAAGAAATCCCCGTCGAAGGGATTGACGCAGCGGCAACGGCCTGGCCAACAAGGTAAACATTATTTTTTCATCCTGTCAATTTTCCTGTATTTTTAATTAAAAATCCTGCGCGCTCCAGGTACAGTGCAAACACTCTGACACCCCTCCCCGACACCCTGCAAGCAAAGGGTTCGCTAATTAAAAAAATAGAATGTTTTTCGACCTTTAAAGATGCTGGTAGCACCCCACCTCCTGCTCCGTCTCGTTAAAATCTCCGGAATGGGATGGATTCCTGTGATGCATGGCCATGAAGTGTGAAAAATTCAGCCTCATTTTTAAATAGACGCTCCACCATTATTTCATTTTTCTACTCTGCAGAGTTTTGACTTGCGGAGAGGGGCACGGAAAAGGAAAAGGGGCACCGTCTGCCATTTATTTGGCTCTTTTCTAGAAATTAATTAAACACTCGCAAGAGGTTGAGGGGGCTGAAGGTCAGACGGGCGGCGAGGCGCGTGGAAATTGTTTCCTTTTTCATGCACTGGAAGTGCCAACAATTAGAAGCCCTCGAGAAAACCCAGACCCTGGCCAAAACGGATGTTTGGCCAAGACGCAAGAGAAAAGAAAAAAACGAAAAGGCGAAGGCGAAGGAGAAACTGAAATAGAAATATAAATATAAATTTCCTGCAAAACGTTAACTAACTGAAGGCTGGAAGGCTTTCCGGCTGAACCCCACCCCCACCCCACCCTCCTATGGAAAGTCATACAATTACGCGATTTAATAAAGTTTCAGCCAGAGCCAAACTCCGCGCATAAAATTAAACAATTAAGCAAATAGTTGCGGAAACTTCAAGGCGAATGCCAATGCAGTTGACGCCAAAGGGGAAACTGCTGCTGCGCGTTGGTCAAGATAAAAATGGATACCCCGGGTTGTGTCTTAAAGCCAGAGCCAAGGATTCCAAGGACTAAGGACTATCTATTTCCAGCTGCTTAGGCGACTTGATTTGATTAGTCAATTAACAGTTCATTAGTTGTCAATCGGGCAGGGACTCAGAGCGTGTCAGTGTCTCAATATCTTCACACTTTGTCACCCAATAATCCAATCTTAAATCATTTTCATTGCGCTCCCCTCCCCGCCCCCACCGCACCGCACCGCACAGCTCGTGTATAAATTGGATATCCATTCGCAGGGCCACGCCCACACAATGTCCAGTGGCTGAGGCGTATAAAAAACATGGCCAGCATGAGATAGGACCATCGGCCATAAATAAAGATCCCGACCCGCCCGGCCCTGCTGCTATGCGAGTATTCGGTTGTATTCTCGTGTATTTTTAATGCCACAATTAAATGCAAATACAATACAGCGCGAGGGAAGGAAAAGGCAAAAAAAGTAGGCAATGGAACTCAGCTGCTGGCTCTGGGTCTGTTCCTGGTCCTCGGCTCTCGACTGACAACGGGCCCAATGTTGAAGGATGGCCCAGGGACAGCTGAAGGACAGCCAGACGAGAGAATGGACGGACTCTTCCTATCAACAGCTTTTTTTCTGCCTTGTTTTTACTACACTTTTTTTCGTCTTGTTTCTGGCAGGGAAAATATTTTTGATGCCGACAACAACAAAAATACAGGACGAAGCAGCAGCAAGCAACAGCCTGCAGAAAATATATAGACAAGTGCCACGCCCCCTTAACCGACACCAGGAACACAGCCACAACTAC